GGGACTCCCCAACCCCACTGGACCCCGTTAACATCCCTACGTGTGACTAAAAGGAACAAAACCCAAAGCCCATTGTTTCTCTCAGAAAATGCCAACGCAATTGAACCCAAACCAAGGCCTAATTAATGACCCACAAGCCACCCCAAAAAAAAAAAAAAAAAAAAGGATGATGCTACTGAATCCAAACGAATGCCTAATCGGAGACCCAAAATTGCAAAAACCTAATTTCAGCGCCTTACCCTAATAAATTTGTAAGTTTTAATATTTTATCTTATACTATAACATTTTTAACTTTTTATTTTAATAAATTTGTAAGTTTTAGCCATTTACTTATACGAGTTGAAAAAAATAACATTTATTTAAGGTCAAATTATAATATTTTGTTAATTTTATTAGTTGACTGTTAGTATTTGTCAGCATTTTGTTACAGAAAACATAAAATTTAAATTTAATTTTATTTGTTAGTTCCATTAACGAAACACTAACGAAACGTTAATAATCACTTAACAGAGTTAACTATCAGTAACAGAACTAACTGAATGTTATAACTTGATCTTAAATAAGGGTTATTTTCTTTAACTTATATAGGTGAGGGGTTAAAAGTGTTATAGTATAAGATGAAAGGTTAAAATCTACAAATTTATTAAGGTTAAAGGCTAAAAATATTATAATATAAGTTGAGGAATTGAAACCTATAAATTTATTAAGATAAAAAGCTATAAGTAGTTTTAATGAAAGCTAGCTGCAAATTTATTTATTTATATTTTTTGAATTAGCAATTGCAGGAGGGTTTATTTTTCAAATCCTAACTGGGAGTAAAACTGGAGACTAAAGGCCGTTTGGTATAGAAGATGAAGGCAGTGGTTAATAGTTTCATCTAAATTGTTAGGTTAAATTTGATTTTTCATTTATTAACTATTACTCTCTTTTCATTTTACTCTAGAAAGTTTAGTCTCTTTCAAAATCATCTACAAACTTTGAAAATCATTTCAAATTTATCTATCCAATAAACTGCCGTTAGTTTTTTTAATGAAATTCCATGGCATGCTTATGTGGCACCAATTATGTGGCACATGCAGTTTTGAAAATTTACATTTTAACTCCAAAAACTTTACAAAATTTTCAATTAAGTTTTATATTCAAACTATTTTACAATACAATTTACTCAACTAAATCCTTAAATGGACTAAATTATAATTAATCAAAACTAATGATAAATAATTAAGATAGATTAATTTGTTAATTAATTAAGATTATAATATTATTTTTATCAAATTAAAATTTAAAAAAAATCTTTTACGTATAAAAATTTTAAAAATATATTTTCTCTATCTTAAAATAATAAACATTTTTGAATTTATCTTTAAATTAAGGATTTAGAAACAATTTCTAT